TGTGTGTGTGTGTGAGTGTGTGTGCGCGCGCGTGTTTGTATGTGTGTGCGCGCGTGAATGGGTGCACTAAGTTTTAGTACGGTTTTACGGTGCTTGCAACTGCATAAAGTCATATCAGCGTCAAGGGGTAGATGTCAACAGAGAAGTCCAAATATCAGGTTCACTCTGCTCACCTCTCCAGTTTCTACAGCACAAAGTCTGCTTCGACTGTCACTATCAAGGCCCCCCGGAAATAGCAGTTCACAAGAGAGTGACAAACAAACAAAAGAAGTAGAGGCAAATGTCCATAGTAAGGATGAGGAAAGAAAAAGCAGCAGTTCCCCCTATGTTGTTCCGGCACAGTATGAGTATGACATTGATAAATCAGCCCATTTACAATTCTACTGTGCATAAGAACATGTTAATATCACCCCTTTGTGAATAGCCTAAAGACTTCAGTCAGTAGTACAGCACTGGTGTGTGTGTGTGTGAGTGTGTGTGTGTGAGTGAGTGAGTGTGTGAGTGTGTGTGTGTGCGTGCGTGCGTGCGTGCGTGCATGTGCGCCTTTTTCCCCTCTTGCACATCTTCTGTAGAGGATCCAGAAACCATCCGTACACTCGTTTTTTATGATACTTTGTTCCATTGTTGTTTCCCAGGACCTGACTCAGTGCTTAATGCTTAAGCAGTGATATTTCCCATCGCGACATTAGGGAAACACTGCTTTACCTAAAGAGGCTTTTCAAGAAAGAAACACCAACACACTCATCCTTTACAAAGCCCTTGGGTTATTTGGTGGCGTCGGTGGCCTAGTGGTTAGGCTACCGGACTCGTAATCGTGAGGTTGCCCATTCGGGGTTCGAGTCGCAGGCCCGACGTTGTGTCCTTGAGAAAGGCACTTCACACGAATTTTCCTCACTTCACCCAGGTGGGAACGGGTATCCGGACATAAACAGCGAAAGATCTTGAGAGTATGTTAGTGTTTTAGAGCGCCTATAACAGTAGCTTGCACTGTATGCATAATTTCAGAAATTCTTTTTTGCATAAAACCGCAGGGAAAGAATTATTCCTCTCAGCCCCGGCTCGAGCTGACAAGTGAAGTCCAAGCAGCCTGCCTCTTCAATCATCTAACTTGTGAGGGCGGAAAACAATTATCAGTCCAATTTCCAAGAGCAGGAAGCACTCACAAAGGAAGACCAAGAAAGACCTGGATCCAGGGTGTGAAGGATACCCTGAGAACATTCAATATCCCTCCCAGCAAGGCCTTCAAACTTTCTAGAGACAGGAAGCTCTTTCTCCTGTCGACGCCCAAGAGGTACAAGAGGACGGCTAAAGTAAAGTAAAGGTAAAGTAAAGTAAGGAAGCACTCACCAATCTAGTGGGTCGTTCTTCATGCGTAGGTTGTCCCGCGGAAAGTAGCCCGGAGGGTAGCGGAGGTTGTGGTACTGATCCCACAGGATACGTTTGCTGGAGGTGGGAGGAGGAGGAGGAGGAGGAGGAAGAGGAGGAGGAGAAGAGGTGGAGAGAGAAATATCGGATAAGTTTGCACTCAATATTGTTGGAAAAAAATAATGAGAGAACAAAATAAAATCAAGAGCATTTAACACAGCATGAAAGAAAATATTTTTTTACAAGTCCTCTCCCTACTGAAACAATTTTACAAAATTACTTAAATATATGTCCAGAATGAAGCTAATGAAGTACAAATTAAAGAAGTCAAACTTCGAGAAAATGGTACCAGTTGAAAATCTATAGATTTGACCTATGTCGCTATTTTAGGCCGATATCTCCATTCACAGATTCCGAGTAACAAACTCGTTTTGTCAGCATGCCTCTCAAATAGACATGCACTTTTCAGCACTGTCAGGTTATTTATGAGGTGGTACCTCCGAATTTAACATCAATCTCTAATAAGACAGATGGGTTTCTCTCTTGCCCTTTTTAACTCCCAGTGGGGCATAGGCCATCAGCAACATTTCAGACAGATGGGTGGAGGGCCTTAAAAACTCCAAGTTCAAAAGTGTCCCACTTGGGATTCGATCAAGGGCCATCCACTCCATGGTCCAGCATTATACCACCGGAGCTGACACACCGCCCATGATAAGAATATTAACAGAGATTTTCGTGAAATATCGAACAATTCTGGAATTCACCAAATGCAAAATCATGTATTTTAAAGACTCAATGATAATATGTCTGTAACATTCAAGTCACAAAAGATGAAAGAAAAATTTGTAGGATTTAAACAATATTAAATTAACAAAGATTAGAGATTAAGACACACTTGGAGTGAGGGGACTATTTCATATCCTTGATGAAAAAAATATAAAAGGTTCTTACTTTCTCGGTGGCGTTGGTATAATTTTGGCTCGGATGGGCAGAATAATCGTTGACCTGCGAGGCTCTGTCTCCTCCTCCTGAAGACAATACAGATGGACATATTAGCATGTTTTATGTTTTAGTAAGAGTTTTACGGCACTTGCAACACAATAAGGTCATATAAGTGCTGAAGATTAGAGGTGTTACAAGAGAGTAACAAACATAAAAATGAGAGAGGGGAGATAAGGACGATAGATAGGAAAGAAGGAGCAAACCACACCAGAACACCCGCCAACCACCCGCATATTAGCATGAGATGGAAGGAAGTGAAACATATTCACGTAGTTCACATTCTGTTTGATCTAAATAATTAGGAAGACATTCTGTTTGAGTAAAGATAAACACATCAAAACAATAATGGTCATTCAGTGCTGGGGAAAAAGTAACAAAGACGGACAGAAACAACAGAGGGAAAGTAAAAGAAATAAAACCTACCAGTGGCACCCTCCAACCACCCATAGACATTCAGTCCCCATTACCAAAAACAAAACAAAAACAAGAATAATAAATTGTAATGACCGTTTCTGAAAAAAAAAGAAATGTAGGTCAGATTTCTGCATATACGCTGTTTCAAATGATAGAAAGATAAAGATTGTAAAGACATTCAGAGAAATATCAGAGTCGGAAATGTGAAGTGCCTAAACTGCCACAGTGTATATGGTCGCTTTTAAGCACAAGGGGGCTATCCCGAAAAAGTGCTGTTTTGAGAAAATCAAAGGTAAAGTTTTTCCCCCATTTTCAGTTTCTTTTAAAAAACAAGGAGAGTTTTCTCTATAACCAAACAAATATACACATCAAGAAAACCAAACTTCTCCTATAGGTAGGGCAATGCCCATTTTTGGTGCAGGTCAAGATTTCTGGAATCCCCTAAAATTTGGGCTAGCCCGCTTGTCCTTGAAAGCGACCATATCCTCTAGGAAGCAGGCTGCTCCAGCCATGCCTGGTAGAGCCACCTGGGCTGAGGGGGATACAAACCCCCACAATAAAGACAGAGATTCTCAGTAAATAAAACCAGGGATGCCACTCAACTTTTTTTTTAAAAGCTGAAAATCCATGCGCCACGGTCTTGCTAACATATGAATATCAATTAAAAACCCAAAGGTGTTTTTTTTTTTCCAACTATAGATTCTATCTCGATCTCAGTAACAGAATAGCGGATCAGGATCAAAATACCGAAAATACCAGAAAAAAGCGGAAAAGTGGCATCCCTGATAAAACACTTTCCAACTGGTGAGTTGAACTCACTTCATAAGAGAAGAGTATACCCATTACACAGCAGTAGGTACGAGTGGTGACACTTTGTCAAAACACGAATATCATAATTCAGGGCTCCGAGCAAAGAAATAAAATATTAGACTGAAATAATAAAGGCATAACAAAACACATTCAACACACACAAAAAAAAAGCCGCAACACAAGAACTATAATTGTGTTTTCTTTAGTAATTTCTCAAATTACCCTGGCCTCTTGCAACTTTAAGAGTAGATCCATTGAATAACATCTACTGCTCAGTGTCAGACTCAATCACAGGCCACTTTTCAAACGGTGTCTTGCGGGGGAGCACCAAGTATTGTAACTAAGGGTTCGGTGAAAATTACGTTATGACATATTTCAAGGCACTGGGAGGGGGCGCACGCTCTTTAAAAATCTCAATCACGCAAATATTTTGCAGAAATACATGTTAAATAAAAATTCCATTTATTGTCGATGCATACAGTGGTGAAAAGTCAGTTTTTTGCTCCTCCAGCAAAATTTGAAAAAACTCAATTTAGGATAATCGCGATGCTACCCTGTGGTACAACAGTCTGACACTGCTACCCTGTGGTGTGACAGAGTCTGACACTGCTACCCTGTGGTGTGACAGAGGCTGACACTGCTACCCTGTGGTATAACAGAGTCTGACACTGCTACCCTGTGGTGTGACAGAGGCTGACACTGCTACCCTGTGGTATAACAGAGTCTGACACTGCTACCCTGTGGTGTGACAGAGGCTGACACTGCTACCCTGTGGTATAGCAGAGTCACACTCACACTAAGCAGTCTGATACCCTGCGGTATAACAGAGTCTGACACTCACACTAAGCAGTCTGCTACCCTGTGGTATAACAGTCTCACACTCACACTAAGCAGTCTGCTACCCTGTGGTATAACAGTCTCACACTCACACTAAGCAGTCTGCTACCCTGTGGTATGACAGTCTCAAACTAAGCAGTCGACATGAGTAGTAATCTCACCTCAGGGGGAGACTCGACAACAATGGTGACCTGTCCCTTGGCGATGCCTTCCCACGATGCAGCGTCCTTAGCGGCCGTGATGGAGATGGCCAGGTATCCCGACCAGGGCCAGAGGTCCGAAGAGTAGGAGAAGGAGACGTCGATGTAGTTGCCAAACTCAGGGGTGTAAGTCTCCCATTTGGGCTGGTGAAGAGAACAGAATAAACCCTTGAAAAAATTGAGTACAGACCCACATGTGCCCATATTGGAGTCCTGACATGGTGGAATCAGGTGTTCATCAATTTCTGGGCATATAGAGTTATTGGTGTAAGTATAGTCTTAAAGCCTGATCATTTGCCTTGATTTAGCTGAAAAAATGCCATTTTGTCTTAAACAGAAGTCAAGATATTCACGGTTGAAGGAGGTGGGGCTCATCGAGTGTTGAGGAGAATATTAAAAAGAAAATGGCCACCAAAGTCAGGCGACTTCTAAAACTGTAGAGTCCATGGCAACTGCAAATTTACATGTTATTTACCTTTGATCAATGTTTTTTCAGCAAAATGCGTTTTTGAATGGGCATTAAAGGTGCGCTGGAAAATGCCAATTTATTCGATTTCATTATTTTGATGAGCGCCTGGTTTCACAACAATGCTACCCGTTATCATACGTGTGTTCTTTCTGTATTTGAGTAAAGATTAGCACAACGGGATAACCGTCATTTCAATTTGGGAATAAGCACGACAGATTGACAGAAACAACAGAGAAAAAGAAAAGAAGTATCTAAACATCGACAAAGTCATTTAGAGCTGGGGGGGTAAGACAGACAGACAGAAATACTAGGGAGAAAGAAAAGAAGTAAGACCAATCAGTGGCACCCACAGACTACCTGCATTAACAGGCCATTCCAGGATAAAGGAAACTGCAGCCACACATACACAAATAACGTGGGGATTAAAACAGTTTTAGTAAGAGTTTTACGGCATTTGCAACACAATAAGGTCATTTAAGTGCCAAAGACTAGAGGAGCTCCAAGAGAGTAACAAACACAAAAAAGAAGGAGGGGAGATAATGACGATAGATGTTTGATAGGAAAGAAGAAGCAAACCACACCAGAGCACCCGCCTGCCCGCCAACACCCACAACGTGGGGATGAAGGCCGGAAGGTTGCCTCTAAGAAAGCTATCAAATAATGAGGAATGACTCCATCGCTGTTTAGAATGATTTTCATCAAACCATCATCCGTATTACGTGCGTCGCTGAGGTTTCATTACTATGGAATGGCCCATATATCTGTCTATACTTTTTTAGTTTTTGCTGAGGGGCATACACCCATGAGACACAATGGACGTCATTTTGAAAGAGAAGCACCCTCTCCAGACAAAAAAAATAATTACCAACCTTCAGAACGTTTATGACATAATTGTCAAACTCTTACTAAAATAAACAACACGTATCATGAGGTTAGCCAAGTGCAAGGAAGCAGGATAGAACAACAATAACGTTAAAACAATCAGACACTGATGAGTTCTAGGTACGCCCAGTGTCCACATGGCAACGAATCTTTTCCCCACTGAAGCAGACCAGGACAATGAATTACGGTCTCTGGACCAGGATACTGGGAACATGGTAAAGAAGAGGGTGGCAATCCAAAACCACGCGTCCACCAATCACGTGATAATAATAAGGAAAAATAACCCGAGATACATTTTGTGAAGGTAAAATAAAGGAACAAGACAGGAAGCCTCACTGCACAGAACATTCTATTTATTA